CCCACACAACATGGTGGTCCTGATCTTTCTCTGGAATTAGACTACTGCTGATATTCGTTTATAGGACTAGAACTCAGGGTCACCCCAATGGTGCTGACTGGCAAAAGGTTCACCCAACATATAATTTAGTAGTCATCGCCTCTTCAGACCGAGGACCCACATTTAATCCCAACCTACTACTTGAGACCCATTTCTCTGTCTCTCTCTCTCTCTTTATTACATATCTCCATCTTCCCTCTCCACCATGATCTCTCGTCATGCCTCCAGCTTTTTGCTTTACACTCTCTTTCCAACTTCTCCTTAAAATGTAGTTGTGACAAGAGCAAGAGGAGTAAAAATACAAATTATTAGAATCATCGCTGCCACTGTCGTTTTTAACTTGATGTTTTGTTTTTTTGTATTTGCAAATTTCATTAAAGAAAACAAATGTAGTTGTGACCTACCTAAATTTTGGTGAAACTGAAAATTATGTAATTAACTTGTGCAACTCAATATCACAAGGCATAGCAATGGCCACTAGTTCAAGCCTGGTCTGTATGCAGCTGAATTAAGTGACAGAGTAGCATTTTTCTACTTTAAGTTACAGGGGATTGGTGTATGTGTGTGTCATTTTTTAATGCTTCCCCATGTTACAAAGGAACAAAACAGCAAGCAAACAAGCAAACAAACAAACAAACAAACAAACAAACAAACAAACATCGTCTTTAAACAAACACTCCAGCACATCAGGAAGAAAGACTCTAGCCCAGCTGTCTCCCACTTGCTAGATTTCTAATTGAAAGGATATTTTCAGATGGGCAGGTTCCAAGCCCAAGTATCAGGCCAGTTAAAATATATATGCAGCAAACGTCACTATCACTACAAATGGCTTTTTTTGGGGGGGGACATTATTTGTCACAGAATACTTTATGCCTGGGAAAATGGAAGTTAAAATAAAACCTAGTCAAACTGTTCCCATAAACATTAGTTTGATAGGTTTGAGGAAAAACATTCCTCTGTAGTGTTTTTCCTTTGCTGTGGAAAGAACTCTTGAAAGAATGTCAGAGTTTCCTCTGTACAGAACAGAGATATAAAGCAGTTTACTGGGAAAGGGCAACAGGAAAACAGAGAAGTACCTCAGTCTATTCTATCTACGCACAACTCAGATGCAGTTATCAGTTTTCTCAGAAATAGCTCAGACTAGCGATGGGCAAATCTGTCACTTTTGGTTTATCTGAGTTCCCATTTTTCCACACTTAAGTTTAGTTCTCCACATTACAACATCACTTTGTAAAAAATATTTTTAGAAGTCCTCATGAATCCGTTAGCATTTTAGGACAATTTCCCCCCTACATACACATTTTTGTATGCAGCTTTGCTAATATACACAGTTTTGTGAAACAGTTTCCCATAATATAATGTATTTGCTTATGCTATTTCCACTAATGCATGTATTTCACCCTAGTAAATGCATTTTTGCACACATAACTTGGTTGGAAAATTTCATTACAAAATTCAGAAAAGTGGAAATTTCAAAGGATGGCTGAGGGCAATGTCAATTTTTATGAATACATTAAATCTGGAACTTTTCCTAATGACATTGTTTCTGCATAATATTTATTGTTATTGATTAAAATCATTGTTATGCCACAATAACCAGAGATGGCAAGAGCCTGTGTTGACTATTGGTGATAACCTAGGGATGTGGAGGTATGTTTCCAGTTGCTGACAAAAGCAACTAGCAGTTGGTGCCTGCCTAATCTCAGGTGCCACCACAGTGAAAGTCCTTCTATGCACCACTCTGAAGTGGACATCTGCAGGCCATAGTATAGTTAACAGGGCCTACTCTACTCTTCACAGTAGCTTCAGAAGTTTGTATTCATGTTTGTGTTGAGTACGTGTTAGGAGCACCCCTAACAGGGCATCCCTCAGGCCAGAGAGCTGTTGCATGAATAGTATAGTTTCATATGCCTGTCTCTGACTTTTGAATACAAAGTTTACTCTTAAACTTTTCCATTTCCAGCTGGATAATCCAATAAATTTAGGTGGATGTTAATGTTAAAGTTACAAGAAAGGAAATTCCAACTAAACATCAGGAAGAACTTTCTGGCAGTAAGAGCTGTTTGACAGTGGAACAGACTCCCACAAGAGACAGTGTATTCTCCCTCCTTGGAGGTTTCTAAGCAGAGGTTCTATGGCCACCTGTCATGTATAATCTAGTTAGATCCCTGCATTGCAGGGGGTTGGACTAGATGACCCTTGGGATTCATTCCAACTCTACAATTCTATGATTTGTTGATCCCCATCTTCACCTTTTTAATTGTGCAAATTATAAAGCTCCTCGTTGACATGTATTTCATTATTAATTATCAATTAACCATCAATTTGACCATTATATGAACTCTGTGTTCTGAAACATTAGCCTGAGCACATTCAGACCTATTAATTATGTTATTAAAAGCACTTAGAAGCCATAACCAGTATCAGTATCGCTAGTGATTTAAAGGTTAAGGGAATGTGCACAACTATATAAAAAGATGAGATAAATCATTTGGGGCAGAATTGGAATCTTTACTCAAAGTGCAGCTTCAATACAAAGAATCAAAACTTAGCAGCCAGATCTAATGGCAGTGCCATTAATTTCAATATATAAATTATGGCAGTATTACAGGGCTGCAATGCTGCCTGACTGGCTGAAAAGGTAACACAGATATTTAGTATAAAGTTTTACATGATGATAATCAGCCCTGAAACTTTACACACCACTGAACACCAAAGCAGTACAGCAAACAGATAAATAGAATTAGAGTATAGCTAGCCTGAATTTTGTGATCATGAAACAAAATGTACTGTATTACATCTACACATATGCACGCTATTCGTTTTCCTGCTGATATTTCATCCACTAGGTGGCTCCAGTATTAAACTGTAAAGTCCCTGAGGAGTTTGTTTCAACAGATGTTCAGCATAGTTCTCCTTGATATGCTTCCAGTATATGTAAACAGGCATAAATTCAAGTTTGTGTGTGTGTGCTTTACAGGACAGAAGCCAATAACACAGTAAGATTAAGAATCCCATCCCAATGCCACTTTCCATTGCTACGGAGCAGCAGGAGTTTATTCCACAGCAGCTGGTTCCTCTAAAGAAGGGTAGATAAGCTGTGGCCCTACAGATGTTGTTAAACTCCAAAGCAATTATTTTACTTTGACTGCAACACCAAACTCTAGTTTTGGGGGCCCTGGGATAAGGTGCCCTCACTGGTCCACCCTCTTTGAGGACACCCACCTTGTCCTAGCCAGTCACTCCTCATTTTCTTGCCCTTTTATTCTGGAGCCAGTCAGCATAACTATGCAGAGAAGGACTACGAGTGATCACCAAAGAAGCAGCAGCAGCAGCAGCAGCAGCAGCAGCAGAGAAGGACTGAAAGGCAAGGGGAGGGTGCTGTTCCATCTCTTCATTCATTACTGCAAGCACACTCAGAGAGTGAAAGTGGTGTCAGGCTTCAAGCGGACACCGAGGAACCTCTGCATTAGCTCTGTCTTCCTTGATCTTAGAAGCCATCTGAGCCTCCTTGCCCACTAAAATATGCTGGGAAGCCCTTGCTTAGATTTCCCTTAATCTTGAAGGATCAGAATGCTTGGGAATATAACAGACCCCTTTTTGTTGTGTTCACCGTACTCTGGGATAATTTATCTAGTAAGACTCACCAGCACCTTAACAAATATAAATGAAATTGTTCCTTTTAAGACTCGATTAAGGCTGCATTCCTAACACACTGATTTGGAATGGGGAATAAATCCCACTTAACTCAGTGGAATTTAGTTCTGAATACACATGGATAAGAATTAGATGTAGCGCTATTTATTTCAGAAGAAGATGTTGAGATTATTATTATTATTTAAATGACCCCCCAAAAATTTATTGTTAGCTCACTTGAGTATAGAATGTGGGGTATAAATTTTAATTAAGAATAACGTTCACCTGTCTGTTTTTCTGCAATTGCTTTTCTGCACTCCTTAATCCTTCTCCAAAACATTCTTTGCTTTATTTCTTCTTCTCTGGACATGTGAATGAAACTTCCATCTTAAGCAGGCTTAGTTGGAGGACATCTCATTTAACATGGTGGTACTTAGTACTGAGTAAATATGCATAGGATTTCACAAGACTGCAATTCTTTGCATTCTTTGCATAGTGGCACGTATTTCAAAGTAAACATATATAGGATTGTGTTGTAAACCATCCCCTTCTCTGCACATCCCAGCCTCCACCTTGCACCATACAGCAGTCCCAACTGAGATTTTTTTTTTGGCAGAAAGTATTCTCTTTCCGACCAAAAGAAAACACTGGCAACAACTTCTAGTTTAATTATATTTTTATATGTGTTGGAAGCCACCCAGAGTAGCTGGGGCAAACCAGCCAGATGGGTGGGGTCCAAATAATAAAAGTATTATTATTATTATTATTATTATTATTATTATTATTATTGCTGCTAAGTAACAGGGGAACACATTTCTCCCACTGTCAAACCCTCACGTTTAAGAGCCGCACCAACGGTAAAGTAAAATTTAATAAAAAGTAAGTACTTTTAAAAAAGAGGCTAAATACAGTGGCCTGGGAGATAGAAGATGGATTAAGCCAGGTGAATTAAAGGCAAGGAGATGACATTGGATTGTCTTAAAACACACACACACAAAAACTTTTTAACTGGATTTTATCTGTTTATATTGTATCCTGTTGAGTCACAGTTAAGTTGTTTATATTGTATTCTGTTATGTCACAGATGTAAAGTTAAGTTGCTTTTTCATAAAGTGACTAACAAATAATAAGAATGGTAGTAGTAGTAGTAATGGTAAGAGAAGGAACTCAGATCACCCATGAAAAACTAAACTGCACAAATATTCATTCAGAACATAAAACAATGGAGGATGGGCACCACTTTTTCCAAGTTGGGACAGGCACCAGGCTCTTCCCAAAAGCCTTTTTCCACCCTGTCAATTCTTTATGGTCTGGTTGTTACTTACACAAGAGTATTCCTCATTGATTTCCAAGCATATCACTTCAGTGGTCTTAACGTTCTTGATATTGAGGCAAGTGATGTTAACCTGACAAAAAGAAAGAGAAGAAGCACTGTCATTGTGGCAGGAGGAGTGGGTACATAATCATGCTCAGCGCAAGGGTAGAGAATCTTTTTTGCCCGGAGGGCCAGAGCCTTATCTCTCTCTCTCTCCCCCCCCCCCATCTTGTGGGGCAACTTTGATAGCTTGGTGGGAGAAGTTGATCTGCAGTATGGTGGGAGCACCCAGTGGGACTGGACTCTTTGCTCACCAGCTGATGAATGGACAGTTCCGTCCTGCTCTCTCCAGGGGTCTGCTTTGCCAGGGTGTTCCCCACAGGAAATGCACTGATGAAGCAGCACCCCACAGGATTGAATGCCGCTGCCCTACTCACTGGCAGGTGGGAATGGTTTTGGGGAAAAGGCCTTGTGGGCCAAATATGTACCTTCTGGTGGGCTAACATGAGCTAAGTAGCTGGAAGCTCCCCATCCTTGGGTTTAGTATTAGGAAATGTTTGCATTCCACTAGAGGTGTTCCAGATGGACAAACAATCCAATCAACCCCCTATTTTTTAAAACTGTCATCCTAGTGGAACCACCCCCATTCCAATGATTTTACTCGGAGTCAATAGAGAAACAGAATATAGAGTTGCAATTTGCAGACGCTTTCCAATAGGACTGAAACAATGAATTGGTTAGTTAGTGGGATTAGCTTTGAATATAGAAATCAGATTGTCATACTATTTCATTGCACCCAAAGCAGCAATCTAAATCCTTCATGCTTCTTACCATCGCACTACGGTCACCAGCTTCAGTTGCAGTAGGTGTACTGGTATTTGAAAAAGTATGCTTTGGCAGCTCTGTAGAAGTAGATGTCAGAAGTGGTGTTGAAGTTGTGTTTTGAGTTGTCTCATTTCTGGAACTGCCCTGTGTTGTAGATGCTTGCACTGTTGTATTTGAAGTGGGTTTTGTGGTGAGTGTTTCAGGGGTGGTGACATTTGTACCATTTGTTGCCTCAGTTGAAAATATTTGATCTACAAGGAAGAACACACAGACACACTTGGAATGCCTGAAAAGTTCTAAAACCAAACCATGTCTCTGCATTTACTGGAACCTGTCTTGATAAATGGCATCAGGATTGTGTCATGTCTCCAGAAGCACAGCAGATTTACTTCCGGATGACATAAATATGGGAAATAGCGCAAGGGGAAAGTGTCAAAACACTCCCCATCCTAACCCCTGGGAGCACTTTGCCAATCCAACCCCACCCTGCTGCTTGAAACTTAAAGCAAAAACAATCCCCAAAGCAAAACATGGGATATAATGCCATAGCTCTCCCTTTATTTTATCTAGTTTGGTCCTGTTGTCAACTTGGGTACAGTAGGTGGGGAGGGACCAATTCACCCAAGTGCCTGGCTGATTAATAATAATAATAATAATAATAATAATAATAATAATAATAATTTTATTTATATCCCACCCATCTGGCTGGGTTTCCCCAGGCACATCTTTAAAAGCAACAACACCCCAGTTAACTTAATTAGTGCTAAAGCACATCAAGAGTGATGCCCAATTACTGCCAATGAAATGTCACACCCCAAAGTGTTTACTGCTTGTTCTGGATCAGACATACAGATTGGCCAAAATAAAGGTGGCTAGAAAAGCCATTTTTAGTAGTATTATAACAGTATAAAGTTGGCTAATTTATTTAAGCAGAAGTACACTATTTTTTATTTTTTTAAAAAATATATAGCCAGGAAAGTGCTTTCGCACTAATTAATATATTGATTATAAAAACAAAAAAAACAAGGACATAAAATTTAACACTCACTAAAAGATGCACTGAAAGTGTGCTGAGTGGCTGATTCATCAAGGCAAATGTGGAAAGTATGCCTCTTAGATGGAAGAACAGTGCTGAGAATCAGCCATACTCTTGCCACCATATGCTGCACCACACCTTTCCCTTCCTCTTCTTGGTAAGCAGCCATGACCTGCAGTGTTGGGAAGGTGAGAGAGCCCCACCCACACTGCCCTACTTGGCCACTTTACTGTCCTGTCCTGTCCTGTCCCACCCCCACCCTCCAATACATCAGACTTTCTCTGGTACAAGAAAATATGAGAGAAGCACTGGGAAAACACAGGAGGACAATAATTTGATGGTGCAATTGTGTGGACATCCCATAAGAAAGGGAATAAATGATGCAGGGAGATTCCATACTAAATGCCTAGAATAGAATCATCCTAAGTACAGGGACGCGGGTGGCGCTGTGGGTAAAAGCCTCAGCACCTAGGGCTTGCCGATCGAAAGGTCGGCAGTTCGAATCCCCGCGGCGGGGTGCGCTCCCGTTGCTCGGTCCCAGCGCCTGCCAACCTAGCAGTTCGAAAGCACCTTCGGGTGCAAGTAGATAAATAGGGACCGCTTACTAGCGGGAAGGTAAACAGCGTTTCCGTGTGCGGCTCTGGCTCGCCAGATGCAGCTTGTCACACTGGCCACATGACCCGGAAGTGTCTCCGGACAGCGCTGGCCCCCGGCCTCTTGAGTGAGATGGGCGCACAACCCCAGAGTCTGTCAAGACTGGCCCGTACGGGCAGGGGTACCTTTACCTTTACCTTTAAGTATCAAGCCTTTTTACCTGTTGATTTAGTAGTTGAGATGGAGAAGTTCCCAGATGGCAATTCTGTGGTATTGCTGCTTGTCAATGGCTGTGTTGCATTGCTGGGTATCACTGCAGAAGGACTCTCTGAAGTTGGTGCAGTAGTTGATACGGCTTCATTACCAGCAGCTTAATCAAATGGAAAAGTAAGGAAAAGGATTTATAGCTCAACAGCACTGTAGGTCATTGAGTCTCTGGTGGGACTCAGAATAGAAGTGCTGCAAAGAAGGCCGCCTTGTTCCTAGCTGCATGTTCATTATTTAATGCCCTGCAGGTGTGGAAGAGCCATCACAGTCCAGACACCACAGAAAGAGGTTTCTTGTCACCAAAATGGAGAGAGTTAGCATTGTCCCCAACAAAAATCAAAGTTGCCTGTGCTCCTTTTATAGTTTAGCAACACATGAAACTGAAACAGACTATTGTTATTCTAATTTATTTTATATAGAGAATCATAGAATTGTAGAGTTGGAAGGGACCACAAGGGCCATCGAGTCCAACTCTCTGCAATGCAGCAATATTTTGCCCAACATGGGGCACGAACCCACGACCCTGATATTAAGAATCTCGTGCTCTACAAACTGAGTCACCCTTATGTCCATGCACATCAAACTTCACCAAGAACGGGATTGATAGGTTCCAACCCTAGGGACTTACAATCTAAAATAAACACAGGCAAACAACGGGGGTGGGGGTGGGGAGAATGGAGGCACAGGTAAAAACATACTGTTGTTTAAATTACTCATACTGTGGCTTAGTTACAATAGGTTATTGACTGTTTCAAAGGCTCCCTGTAAAAAGTAGGTTTAAAAGTAGAGCTTGAAGGCAGAAAGACAGGTAGTCATTTGGTGGCATTCTGGAAGGCAGTTCCTTTTATAAGGACCAGGAAGAGAGAAAGGGCATCATCACTTCAGGGTGTGAGAGAACTCTGGATAGTTGGAAATGATGAAGCTGGGTGGGCAAAGGTTGCAGGAAGGGATGTGATGGAATACAGTATAAGATTGAATAGATAAGAGAGGCAAAGCTATGGGGGGTTATGAAGTTAAGGACAAGCAACTTGTGCAGTATCTGTAAAGGAGACAGGAACCCAATGTAGAGATGGAAGGAGAAGTGTCGATGTCTGAGTGATGAGAGAGCTGAATAATTCCGCCAGCCAAGTGGATCAAGGGAAGATGAGAGACAAGAAGTAGTCAAGGCAGGCCAGAGATGACAAGGCCAGGACTTTGCCATAATCTGTCAACATCTTAGATAAAAAAGGGCTGCCTTGTTTTTCTTTTAGGCAATTTATTAATAGTGAAACTAATTACAAACACTACTAGCAGAGGCCATTCAAACTTGGCATGTTTGATGGAGACAAATGCTGTTTTCTTCCTTAAGTAAGCCTTTTTGAACTACCTTTTCTTTCAACACGAGGACCGGTTTGTCTCAGAGGCAGGGACCCCCAGATCTTGGAACACAGGCAGCAAGAAAATAAGTTTAAAATCTCCTTCCTTCTCCTCCTTGTATTTTGCAAAAGCTGCATTTATGTTCCTTTTAAAATATGACAATTCCACGTTCCAACTAGTGAATGGTGATTCTGATATATTTCAAGACTTCCTGTACTATACATTGCTTTTATAATTCCTCAGTAATTATTTTATTATTATTTTTGTTCTATTCATTAAATTTCTATACTGCCCTTCATCCAAAGATATAAAAAGACATACCATAATAACAAGCAAAAAGAATAACCCCACCACCCAAACACAGTTTAAAAGGCTATAACCAAAGGCCTTGGATATTTATTATTTCATTTAATATAGCAGTAGAAAAGAGAAAACAGTTAAATGCATTTTAGTTTGAATATGGGCAGTAGTTTTGAGGGGAATTTTAATTCTGTCCCCCCATACCACCCTGTTCTCTCTTCAGGTCAAAAGGTTAGAACAAGAACAATAAATCAATTATTTCCCAGTGTTTCAGTAAGTTGTTTATTTATACCCACCAGCCTTATTAAAAGAACAGTCTGTTGTGCAAGAGGATACACTCTCTCTGCCAAGAATTCTGGATTATCTTAAAATTAATCTAGAACAAATATTCAGAGCCAAACGCCTGAAACAGCATGATTGATGTATTAGATGACACTACCCAGGATGTGTGTATTTCATATGGTTGCAGGCTCACCATACCTGAGTTGGTCCAAAACCCTTCAGTGCCTTAGTGGGCACATACCCCCACCTCACATCAAGGTGCATAGTACCCAAAGGCTATCAAGTTATTTTGGCATCTAAGGCAGAAAATTCCACAAGCTCCTCTCATTGGACACTAAAAATACAATTATGATAAATTAAATAATTACTGCTTTGCTGCCCTTTTGAGACACCAAAAATAATCTACCTGAGACTTATTTATAGCAGAACAAAGTTGGCACCTCTATGCTGTTTAGTGCTACCATACTTCAGCTATTGAACAAATGGAATGATACCCTTTGCTGAGCATCCTACACCATTTCAGAGTAGATTCTTTGGGCCAAACTAGATTTGACAGCAGAAGGTCCATGAGCACGTCTTCTGCAGTTGTTAAGGATGTATGTGTGTATGTATGTGTATTCTTGATGTTACTTATCAGAGGCTGAAAACAAGGCTAAGGGGTTCAGTGTGACCTTTGAGATGCTAGGCAAATAGAAACAAGACAAAAAGGGATGTTGGGATCTGAGGAAGCAGATGTGTGCAAACACTGACACAGTTGACCAAACATGACTGTTGAACCCCAGACAGTCCTTCTGAAACCTGTCTTCAAGGCTAGACAACTACACACAGGGCTTTTGGGACTAAAAACAGCCCCACCACCCAAGAAGCAAAGAACTGTGGCAGCACCTGGCAGAGGAGGGCAAAGGAGCAATTGTTGAGTGGAAGAAGAACAGCATGCCAAAGAGATTGACCAAGATGTGGCTAGGGCCATGGGGCAGTCACCATTGACTCCAGAACTGTGTAAAGATTGAACAAATCCGACAGCAAATCAGAGGGCAACAGGGAAAGCCAAAGCAGCGTGTGCACTGCCAGAATCTCTGTCCTTGTTTATATCAGCTGTATTAAAGGTTGGCCACCTTTAATCGTGTGCTTGCATAAGTATCCTGAACCTAAGCCATTTAGGGCTTTAAAGATAATCATCAACACTTTGGATTGTGCTTGGAAGCACCACCTGGAGGCCTCCCATAAGCAAGCACCCACCTTTATTCTCGCTGCTTCATTCTGGACAATTGCCATTTCTGAAGACTCTTCAAATGGAGTCTCATGTAGAGTACATTGCAATAATCCAATCCAGATGTTTCACCTTGGCTGAAGGAGAAAGGCTTAAAGTCTCTTCTCCCAGCTATGTAACTCCTAATATGAATCAGGCCCACCTGCAGTTGCATTTTTTCTTTTAAAAAACAGTGGGAGATCCAATCACAAATCTCTTGCCATCTCATCTAACTGCGCCCTGTAAAACAATATTATTATGTGCTACATGTTCAAGGACAAATAGACTTGCACAAAGTAACAGCTATCCTTTCCCTCAGGGCTTTCCTCCAGCAAAAATGATATGCGTAGCTAATAGGAGGATTTTCTCCAAGGACAGCTGCTGTATTTTCTTTGGGCATCAATGACTTGTCTATCATGAGACCATAAGACTCTGAGAATGGGCAATTTGTTTCAGCCTGAGTTTGGTCAAAACTAGCATAGGTATAGCCATAAATCAGCGGAAGTATCCATCGGCAAGCACAATTACAGGACCAGTGTCCTTTATTGCCATCAGGACTTATTTACACATTGTGTGAGGGATGCGGAAATGATCTACTTTTGATGAAAACTGGCTCTCCCAGCTGCCAAACCAGGAGAGTAGCAGAAGTGGCAGCTGCTGTAATTATTATTATTCTTTATTAAATTTGTATACTACCTTTCAAGTTTCCAGGGCAGTTCACAACATACAAATACAAAATGAAAACACAAAATACAAAATAAAACAAAAACAAGGCAATAACCCCACTCCCACAAACACATTAAAAAGGCAATAGAGTGTTAATTAGCCAAAGGCCTGATTATAGAGAAACATTTTCAACTGACGCTTAAAGAAATATAATGAAGGTGCCAGGCGAGCCTCCCTGAAGAGAACATTCCACATGGGGAGCCACCACAGAAAAGGCCCATTCTTGTGTTGCCACCCTCCAGATCTATTGTGGAAGAAGAAGTGCCTCAGATGATGATCATAGGGTCCAGGTCGGTTCCGATGGGGAGATGCGGTCCTTAAGGTACTGCAGTCCTGAGCTGTTATAGGTCAAAACCAGTACTTTGAATTGGGACCAGAAACTAATTGGCAACCAGTGCAGTTGGGTCAGGATCAAACCATCCTACCTCAGTGAGCAACCTAGCTGCCAAATTCTGCACCAGCTAAAATTTCCTAATCATCTTCAGAGGCAGCCCTATGTATAATGCATTGCAGTAATCTAATCTAGCGATTACCACAGCATAGATGACAGAAGTTAGGCTTTCCCAGCCCAGATGGGGGCATAGCTGCGCCACCACCTGAAGCTGATGGAAGGCACTCCATGCTACCAAGGCCACCTGAGCCTCAAGTGACAGCAACGGATTCAGAAGTACCCCCAAACTACAAGTGTAACCCCATCCAGAGCAGGCAACATCCCATCCATCTGCTCTACGGAACCACCCACTGACAGTCCCTCAGTCTTATCTGAATTGAGCTTCAGTTTGCTGGCTCTCATCCAGTCCATTACCAAGACAAGACAACAGTTCAGCACATCTACTGCCACACCTGCAGATGTAAAGGAAAAGTAGAGCCAGGGCTTTTTTCAGATGGAATTCAGTTCCAGCACCTCTCAGGTGGGCACCATTGCCATATAACAGAATAAGGAAAGTATTCATGTTAAGTTCTGGCACCTCTTTCCCTAGAAAAATAGCACTGAATATAGCTGGGTGTAATCAGCATATTACGGGACGCGGGTGGCGCTGTGGGTAAAAGCCTCAGCGCCTAGGGCTTGCCGATCGAAAGGTCGGCGGTTCGAATCCCCGTGGCGGGGTGCGCTCCCGTCGTTCGGATCCCAGCGCCTGCCAACCTAGCAGTTCGATAAGGCAACCTTCGCGTGCAAAGTAGATAAATAT